AAAAAAAAAAAAAAAGAAAAAAAAAAAAAAAAAAAAAAAAAAGAGGCATGTATGTCAGGGGACCACACACGTGGGCAGCCCCGTCCCACCCTAACTGACATTTTCTGTTGAGGCATTGTTTTCTTAAAAAAACAAGAATGGGTCACTAGCCTTTAAAAACCAGATTTTCACATTAAAGTCTAGATCTAGATTTCTGGCTTCTCAAAAAAAAAAAAAAAAACAACCATCAGTCTAACAATGCTGGGGTCCTCATTTCTGGATGGCACACAGATGGCTGGGATCTGAAATGGATGGGACGCAGCTCTTTTCACACCAGTCCCCAGGACCTTGGCTGCAGGCTTGTTTACATTTATTATTGGGCTGACGCCATGTGGTTATTTTTGTTTTTTGCGAAGTTAAGAGGAAAGTGAATATTTTTCCTTGTCTCTCTCCAGATTGGCCTCCACACCTGGGCCTACTTTCTTCACTTATGGTTACCTGCCTGGCTGTTGTTAGCTTTTGGATTTTGACCCTTGACTAGGTCAAACTTCCTAGATGTCCTCTAAGACCTTCCTAAACGTGTATAACTGGCCTGTGGCGGCTTCCCTGGAGCCTGGCTCTGGAAGCCTGAGGAGGCCGGGAGCTGGCGTTTCCTGAGCTCTTGAAATGGAGCAGGCACTGTGTGTTGCGTGGATGAGCTCCCGCGACCCTCACGGCGTCCCTACAGAGGGGGCAGTTTGTGGATGAGGAAACAGGTTCAGGGGGTGAGCGGCAAAGGTGGGCTTTGCACCTGGGCTTTGTGATGCCAGGGCTTGTGTGTTTAACCAACGCTATGTGGTTTTTCAGTGTTTGTTGTTGTTGTTGTTTCTTTCTCTTAAGTCAAGGGACCTTCTATTTAGATTTGTGCCTGAGGGTTTCAACATATTGGCCAGGCTGGTCTCAAACACTCCTGACTTCCAGTCTTCCAGCCTCACAGATGGCTGGATCTGAATGGATGGGACGCAGCTCTTTTCACCACAGTCCCCAGGACTTGGCTGCAGGCTTGTTACATTTATTATTGGGCTGACGCCATGTGGTTATTTTTGTTTGTTTGCGAAGTTAAGAGGAAAGTGAAATATTTTCCTTGTCTCTCTCCAGATTGGCCTCACACCTGGCCTACTTTCTTCACTTATGTTACCTGCCTGGCTGTTGTTAGCTTTTGGATTTTTGACCCTTGACTAGGTCAAACTTCCTAGATGTCCTCTAAGACCTTCCTAAACTGTATAACTGCCTG